TAAATCCTACAAAATACAAATGAAACAGAACACAGAGTCAGATGCTACAAATATAATACGCATATATACAGGCGACTGAAAAACCAAAGAAGTGGAGTGTACTTCATATCACTATGCATAAGGATTGAGTGGGGAATGGGAAAAATACCAGCGTGGTTCAAGAAGAAGTGGCTGGTATCTCAATCGCCACAAAAGAAATAACTAGGGAAGGAATTTCTGGCGAAAACATAACAATATGCACTGATAGTAGACATGCCCATCAGCCTTGAACATACAACGTGTTATCTCAGAGGTAGTACTAGAGTGCCACCAAGATTTAGCCAAAGCCTCCGTAGATAATAACATTATCCTGAGGTGGGTTGAAAGGCACGACAGGAGTAAAGGTAATCGCATTGCCGACTCTTTAGCCAAGGAAGCGGCTGGACTAAGAATTTTAGGACCCAGTGACACCTACATTCTGATGACTTCGACAATTGCTGAAGTAGCCAAATGTCACACCCATGCTCAATCCCTATAGAGATGGTATGGAGTCAAAGGATGCAATTTTACCAGGATCACCTTGGGCGACCCCGGGAAGCTGACGCCAAAGAAATGTCTCGCGATGACCAGGAAAAATCTATGCTTAACAGTAGGATTTCTGACTATGGGATTTCAATTAAAAAAACACATCCATAATATGAGGCTAGTGGACACACCTCTATGCAGGATGTGTGAACAGGAAAATGAAACTGTCAGGCATGTCCTATGCAAGAGTCCGGAGTTATCGTTAATAAGAGAGTACTGGCCTATACCTGCCGATATAAAGGAAATGTCTCCTAGTGATCTTTCCAACTTCCTGGAAATGACAGAATGTAGTTGTCCTAGGAGGACAACTCTTCGGGAGGATGTACAATGGGTCACATGTGGCCTAAGTGCTGTGGGCCCACACTCACCCTTCCTACTGTACTCCTACTGTACTCCAGATCTGCCCCTAGCAACTGTTTTCTGTTCTCAGACCTCAAGAGAATGCTCACTGGAAAGGAATTTAGCGCCGATGAAGAGGTAATCGTCTAAACTGATCACTATTTTGAGGCTATAGATAAATTGTACTATAAAAATGGTATCACAGAAGTGTATGACCGCTATAATCGTTGTAACGCCCTTGAAGGCAACTATATTGAATAACAAATTAAAGTTTTGTTCTATTTTAGCCTACGAACATTTCTGCCTAACAGTTATATGATATGAGCCTCTTACACTTCTGTTTTTGAATATTTTGGACACTTATCCATTATAAACGAATATTTATGGCGAAAGCCAACTTGGAAATATCCTGTGCATTTGTCCATGATGTCACAACGGGACGACAAGGGAGAGGAAATATACGACAGAAACGTTATCGCGTTCCATTCCGAAATACATGTACTGAATGAATTCAGTTCAATTAAAACTAATGAATCTATTCAAGTCGGAGGACCGTTTGTAAATACCGACAAAATAATGCTTCCTCTGCAGAACGCTGGCAATTGTGAAATCACAAATTCTCACTAACATAGCAGTTGATCGGCATCCTATTTAATTAAATTCTCCACACAGAATGCGAATTCAAACGTAGTGTCTCTCTGCCATCGTTCAGTACGAGCATTCCTATTCATTCAAAAATATCACGTTTGTGTTTTTTTAATTAAAAATATTCATTCATTCTTCTGTTTTTGAATACTTAATATTCGGTAATGGCTAATTTCATGATATTTTTCCCTTTTTTTTTCAGAAAGTTTATATAATAATAGAAATACCTAAATCGAAGGGGTTATATCATTCACATGAGTTCTACTTTTAATGAATGGTAACAAATTGCACTTACATAGAACACTGCCATCCTCACTGGTATACACCGATGTTTCGCCTTAAGACACTTGCCCTAAGGCTCTTCAGTACCAAATTGGATAACATTATAGAAAATACACACACATCATCCATGAATTACGATTTTTTAATGTCACGGAATAAGCTTGATCTGCTTATTCAGTAAGTAAACTTCATTGACTACACTGTGAATAACTTCCACGAGTAACAGGTCAGTAACAGTACACATATAAATGTAAAAATAAATATATAAAAAAAGAAGGGGAATATATAGCAATGGATTCGTGAATTGTGGAGTTCATGTATTTTTCTATTGAAGAAAAGCAATGTTCACTCAATGTTTTTTTAATTTTTTCCTAAAAAGATACATGCTGAGCTTTGTTAGACCTTCATTTAGTTTATTGTACAAATTCAAGTTGGGAGAGTTGGAAGAAGATATTTTTAGTCTGAACCTGTTTGGCCTCCCCTGACTATTATTTCGGGTGATATGGTTGTGTAAGTCTGAGTTCAACTTTATAATTTCCCCTATTTCTGTGCAATTCAATGAGGGTTTGATATATATAGATGCAAGAAAATGGCATTATTCGATTTTTGATGAAAAGTACCTCCAATTATTCTCAATGCCGTTTTTTGCAACTTGAATACTCTTGTTGCCTGACTAGAATTTTCCCATAAAATGGTACCACAGCTTATATGCGAATGGTAGAGGGAGTGGTATGTAGTCAATAGCATATCTTTGTTCACAATATTTTTCAGTTTACGCAGCAAAAATAGTTGGCTAGACAGTTTATTGCATAGATGGTTGATGTGGCTATTCCACTTCAATTCATCATCGAGAGTTATCCCCAGAAGTTTAGCAGTAGATCCATTCGAAATGTTTTTATTAGAGGAGAATATGATGTGCTGGGTCTTATCATTGTTCATTTTGAGTTTATTTGTCGTAAACCACAGTTCTGCTCTAGAGGCAGTAGTCGCCTTAAGTTCATTGAGTACAAGTCGACTATAATGCGAATTTATTAATGAAGTGTCATCAGCAAATGCAATACTCATATCCGGAAACAAGTAATGAAATATATCATCGCGTAAATGGTGAACAACAATGGCCCAAGTACGGATCTCTGTGGCATGCCATGGTCAGTATGAGCCCGTAACGAAGTAGTTATGACAGATACCACTTGTTGACGGTTGGTTGAATAGGACTTTTAGAGATTCAGTAGGGTTCCTCTTACCCTATAGTGCTCGAACTTTGCCAGCAGCAGCTCATGTGAGACACAGTCAAACGCCTTAGATAAGTCACAGAGTGTGATACCTGTTAACTTCCCAGTCTCAAGGTCTTCAAATATTCCTCCCACGACTCTGTTTACCGCCTGGATCGTGGAACAGTTCTTCCGAAATCCATATTGACAACAGTGAATTGTGTTGTATTAACCAAAGAAACAATACAGCCAATTTTTCAGAATGATCTCAATAATTTTTCCTAGAATTGGTATTATGGAGATAGGTCTGTAGTTGTCAGGAAGATATCTGTCACCTTTTTTAAAACTGGGAACAACTTTGGATATTTTGAAGGCACCGGGAAATACACCATCAGTAATACAAATGTTAATAAGTTCCGTCGGTGGATTTATTATCACTTCCTTTATCTCCTTCAGTATTTTGCTATTTAAAAAATATACATCAAAGCTAGAGGAATTTTTTAGATTTTTGATTGCGGACAACACTTCGTTTGTTGTGACTGGCTCAAAAAAAATGAATGCTGAGGTTTCAAGTTGGGATCTTGAAAATCAATCGCTTCATGATTACTTCGAGGTAAACTCTCAATGATGTTTTTTGCAACCATAGAGAAGAAGTTATTAAACTCATTTGCCGTTATTGTATTGTCATTGGGAGAAACATGAGATTTTATTTTATTTTGCTCAAAATTGATTAACTTCCAGCAGTCTTCACTTGTATTATTTGAAGTAGCAACAAAAGTGCCATACGCATTTCTTTTTGCCGCAGTAATTTCTGACAGATAGTGATTTTTAATTTTCCTATAAGCAAGCTTGTCTACATCAGTGCCTGTGCAATCTGAGACAACTTTCACGGCCTGAACTTGTCTCTTTAGCTCCCTCAGATGGTCATTGAAAAATTGTACAGGTGGTTTGTTCACTATTTGTCTTCTTTTTTTTATGGAACTAATAGAAACATGAATATAATGAGAACGACTTCCAGCCAGTAAATAAATCTCAAAATTAGTCAATAAAAACATTAACTACATATACCAACTGAAACGAATGACAAATACACTTAGAAAAATTATATGTGCTCCAAACAAAACCCTTATTCGATATTGCCAAATGAAGAAATTCCACAATTAATCACTATGATGTCTACCAGTGACGATGACAGTGGAATTGAACCTTTTTTTTCTGATTGATTCGGTCATAGTAACTTCAAGATCCATAGTTACTTCATAACTACACCTTACGTTTTGATCTCCACAAACTTTATTTTTGAAAAAATATTTCGCTAACACATGCAGTAGCTTTTTCGTAGTAACTGACGTACTTACCTTTATACATAGATGTATAGATCATGCAAAGAACTAACTTTCAGACACAAACTGGAAGAAGAAGAAGACCTCCTGAAACTTTCACATAAATATTGAATTACACGAAAAAAAAATTCTTTCGAATCAAATACTTTTATATCAACACTGAATTATACAAAAAACACTTTTCTTCCTACACAATGAAGTAAAGAAAGGTGACAATTTTTCACTTACATGGAACACTGTCATCCTCACTGGTAGACATCGATGTTTCGCCGTAAGATACTTGCCTTAGAGCTCCTCAGTACAAATCTGGATATTATTATATAATTTTAAGCAGTGTTCCATGTAAATTTGAAAGTTACTTTCTTGCACGATCTACATGATTTTCAATTTTTTTTTGTTTCATCTTCAATAATGAATGCTTGTTTCACGACTATATATCAGCATATGCATAATTTTTTTCAGATAATTTCAGTCTAGAGCGTTAATTAAACATTACGACAGTCAGAATGTACATAATCAACAAGATTGTTACTTGTCAAAATACCTCGGTGTATTATCAGCAAATAAACAAAAAATATGTTTGTCAGTGATTGTATGAATAATATATTTTCTGGAATTCATTTGGTATTTCAACTTGATATATAAATGTTGACTGAAAGAAAATTGTTAGTTCTCGATCCAACTGTAAGAACTTATCAGTAAATATGTTACTGCTTTTGTGTCTAATATCTGTTTCACTATTTAGGGAAACACTTGAATCCGACATTGGTGAGAGATAAATTATTTATTAACTTTGTGCTGGATTATAAGTTGAGTTCGTTTTGGAACATGCTCTTCTGTTTTCTGATATGTTCAAATAAAGCAACAATTTGTCACCGAAATATATAGTAAAGAACTGCATATATTCGAATGTATTCTTCACTTCTCATGAGTTCATCTTCTAATAACGCTAAATTGGTTAGTTTATATATAATGAATCAAATATGTTTTCCCAAAAAAATCATTGAATCATAACAGAAAGTAAAGAACCATGTGGAGAAGGTGCATATTAGGAACTATTCTCAAGTTCTTCTGAAACACACACACAAATTGTGATGAAATCGGCCAAGCAGTGATGAAAATCCCTGATGAAGGTATTGAAAAACACGTTATTATGACACGACATTCGACATGTACTGAATATATCTGAAGAAGCTAGTGTGTAGAGAAACTGATGTGATAGTTTTATAATTTTTGACCAATACTATCAAAAAATTGTTTCATATATTGTTGTTGTATTATTCTGTACACTGGTCCACACTTTGAAACAATATTTGAAATTTTATTCGATATATTCATCTTGATCGAAATCACGATAAACGATGGCTTGCGAAAATTCCTCAGTGTAACTATTGTTCATCTTCTGCTTGCGAAAAGGCACAAAACTGTTTCCCTGACATCCTTATTTGCAACATAGTCAACATTCTGATTTTTAAGAACTCCACGAAGCTTTTATATGTTTGCGAAATTCATAATTTTCTGTTGAAGTTGATGTGTTTTGGTCACAATGTGGAGCCATTTTTTGCTTTCAATAGCTTCAAAATCAAACATTTTCAGAAAGAGTATATGTTTTCCAGCATATACCAATTTTGTAAATTTATGAATGTATTTTCATTTCATTCTTCAAAATTTTTCGGTGAAAGATTTTTGAAATCAATGTTTACAGCTTCCTGAATTTTGAAAAGAGCATATCAAAATTTTTTAGATTCTTTTCCACTTACACAAATTATTGGAATGAAAGATTCAAAACCACGTTCAAAACTGATGCTGAATTGACACATCCAGAGATTTCCAGTGCCTGTGCCATCAGACTTGAAAATCTAATTTACTTAATTGCAAATATAACAATCGACGAATGACACACCAGCGGAATTTTTTTGGTCAAATGTCCTCTTTTGCCTCAGTTCGAAATTATCATATTCGAGCTAAAAAATACATTTTCATCTTTTTCTCTATTTCAAGTGATTTCTGGAAAACATATATTAGGCAAAACGAGAATTTGGTGATAATTTCAACATTGTTCAATCACTACAGAATTTCTTGAGTTAATTATGAATAAAAATCTAACTTGACAAGATTATACTTATCAAATCAGAAATATCATTTATTGATTGAAATATTTTACAAAACAGATGATTATATTCATCAAGTTACCTGAAGGACATATATTTCCCGCTAATCTACTCAAAATAACATCATTTAAAGTCTGTTGGGGATCAGCTTGTCTGAAATATCTGATACCTTTGAAAACATTACAAATCAAAATTGAAATGTAGGATCATATCACCATTCACTAGACCTGCCAGTGTTCAAATACTCCTTTCGACAGAGATATGCTATATTGGTGTAGTAAATGCAATTACAAAGTATTTCATTATTTCAATGAGTTTATGTGAGTGTTGAGCTTTCTCTCTTCCTGGGTATAACTACCCTTTGGAAAATAGACATTTAATGACACTGAACGAGGTGATCACAACTCTGTCATCGAGTTGGAAACCGTTCAGCAAATAGCTCATATAAAAGCCGTAGAAATCACCTCACTTCTACGGAAACACAAGGATGAGCCAATGCATGGGGTGTTCTTCAACAACATTGAAGACCTTGGTTTATCAAAGCGCCTGACTTCTGTTTTTCTCAGATCGAGTGGGCTGAAGTCGGAAAGTGAGGGGTTCATCATGGCTTGCCAGGATAGTGTCTTCAACACCTTATTCTACCGTAGTCGTGGAATGAGTATAGAGATTCTTAACACAAGATGCAGGGCCTGCCGCGAGACGTCTAAGATCCTAATGCACTTGCTATCAGCATGTCCAGCATATGCAATCTTGGCCTGTATCCATCGACGTAACGCGGCCAAAACAGTGCTATTCTACCATCTATGACACTCTTACGGTATTGACGAAACACTCGTGTTGCCCCACGCTCCGGGGGATATTGAATCCGTTGTGGAGAATTTATTGGAACTATTCGTTCTCCTCCCTCAGGCTCATACAAGCTATAATAAGCCTGATGTAGTCCTCCTCGACCACCAGAGGAAGACAATATTTGTCGTGGAGTTTTTAGCTCCTGACGAGACGAATATCGTCCAACAAGAGAAGGAAAAATGAATAAAACTTCGAGATTTTCTTTTCGAACTCCGTTACTCTATCCTGACAACTCTGTCAAGATGGTTGTTCTCATTATTGGAGTCCTTGATGGAATGATACCCTTTCTACTCATGAATCTTAAAATGGTACTGGGTGGCCGCACTAATGCAGAAATCGTAGCCGGACATATGCAGAAGGCTGTCATTCTTGGCTGCGCTAACTCAAGGCACATGATTCTCGGACTCAATGATCACTTACCTCACAGTGTGGAGAGTGGTCGTTGGTTGATAATGCTAGCGCGCCTTCCCGAATGTATCGGGGTTTTGGAAAATGGGGCCTGACCAGCGCAAACTTCAGTGAAATAAAAGTAATAATAATGTGCATTAACAGAAAGATCGTTTTACACTGGTATGAGGCATAGAAAATATTACAATGTAAACAAATATTGTGAGAATACTTTATCTAATATAGGCTCACTGAAGACCTTGGGTGTATTTGAAAATATATAGTGTAATTAGTAGGTATATTTTAAATAACTGAAAGATCGACTAATAGATTTTTTGAATCCATAGGTGGGCCAGAAAATTTTCTCCTAGGAGCTGCAAAGGTGTGTATTACTTTTATTTGTCATCTTTATATCATTAAAACTCAAACGAATCAATACGAGAAAGTATAATGTTATGTATTCTTTCAGGTAACACGCGACGAAGCAAAACAACTTTGTCAGGAGCAGTCGATGAAACTTGTGAGCATTCAAAACTCTGAGAAAAACGAAGACATATTCCGATTATTGCAAAATAATAGTAAGTTCAATCTATAAATTGATGGATGTAGCCGTTACTACGTGGTAGGTAGATCATCATTAAAACTTTCTATGTTTTTATACCACTTGTATTTATAACTAACTTTGCTGCAGATTCTTCCTATAAAAACTTCTTGAAACGGACACAATAGGACGAAACTGTAAGTAACTTTAATTATAAATACAGGTGGTATAAAAACATAAAAAGTTTCATTTCTCATTTTTGAAAGTGCAATCTATTTGCCATTATGCATACTATATATAATAATATTAGTAATAATTATAATAATCGATTTTATTGCCAGAAAATCACAAACATATACATATGATGAGGTGAAAAAAAAATATATATATGTCTGACAAAATGCAGAGTTTGTGCTTCTTCAGCAGGAGTTGAGTTAACTAAAATCCCACTATATGCGGATAATCAAATTCATTAATATTTTCACATTCTGAATTATTTCGATATTTCGTAAATTCATGAAAGACACCTAGTTCCAGAATTGTTTCAAAGTATGTAGTTGACAGTGTTGATTTTTGTATTTCAATCAAACGGTTTTATTCAACTTGCCTGTTCGTTTGTTTGTTTAGTCATTTGTTTGGGCCAAATTTAGGAAATGAAGTTTGACCCCCTTCCTGTTGACAAATTGATCTGAAATTTGGTACACAGATGACAATACATTCAGATAATTCTGTATCATTGTTAATCCAAGATAGCCCAAGTTACAAAATGTCGGGGCTTGACTAGTAGTAGAATAGTAATACACTTTGTAAAAGATGCAAATTCAAGATGGCCGCAGCTACAAAATGACGGATTACATACTTTTCACAAATACCCTCAACTCAACTAGTAGAATAGTACCTAAATATGAGAATCAAATGATGCCCAACGATTTTATAATTTTTTCATCTGTTCAATACCGTAAATTGTTGAGGAGAATGGTGTGATGACTGCTACCTAATACCTTCCGAATTATTTTTCAGTTCATTAGTTCATTATCATTATTATCTTTTATTTTTCAATAAAACTGTTCAACATTATCATTCACTAAACTTCTGGATATCATTTCCACGTAGTGAGCCACTTGAAACTCAACTTTGTAATAATACTTTTTCCTGTATATTAGAATATGCGGTCAGATTACTTTTTGCCATCCTTCTAGATGCCGTTATTAAAACCTGTTTGGCTACTCCTGCTTCGTGGGTGGTAGATAGATAGGTAGGACCAAAGTGAATAGGTCCATTCGAACAGAAACTGCCACACACGAGGTTTTTTCGTAGCTCTCACCAATTCAAACTCAAAACTTGAATTTGTTTGAATAGCATACATCACTGAAAATGTTAGTCCCGGAATTGTTCTTCAGAATGTTGATATTTAGATCTCCAAACACAAAACACTTCAGTTTTGTATTATTTATATTTTGAAGATTTTCATCTAATCTCTTCAGGAAAGCTTTGTAGTTCTCTATTGGTGAACAGAATTTTAAATTGTGATAGTTTTACTTCAATCAATGAATTTTTAGAATCTTCATTGACAATTTCGTAATCCATATTGTTTCCAAAAATATTCCTATGCCACCCCCACGATTCAGCCTTTAGGAATAAATAAAATTGATTTTCTTGAAATTATAAAAAATAAGTTCTTCGCCTTCACTCATCCATGTTTCGAAAATCATTATCACATTTGCTTCAACTACGTTATTGATGATTTCTATTTCATTTATTTTATTTTTCGTTGATCGAGCATTTAAATAAAGATTTTTGAGTTCAGTACTTATTTTGTTATGATATTCAAAAATTGATTGGTATTCAAATACTTCTATATCAGTATTATTCATTCTTCAGAGTGTTCGGTTTTTGATTAATAACTATGATCAATTTGAGAAAAGTACTCACTTTCTTGAGATTTGATCACTGGACAATTTTTACTGGTTGCTACCTTGGTCAACGCAGTGTTTGGTTTTGAAATTTTAATTCGAAAATTCACTATTTGAACATTTCATTTCAGAACCAGTAGGTACACTTTTTTCTTCATGATAATCGCCACATGTAGAGCAAATTGTTGAATTACTACAGTTTTTTGAAGAGTGATTGAATCAGCAACATTATGTTAACTGATTATTGTCACAGACATTCAAATTCTGACAACTGATGAACAGATTTCCTTGTTTTTTCAAGAATATTCCTAAATAGATTTCCATATCATCAGTATATTTGTTTTTGTGGAAAATGTATTTCACGTGATTCATTTTTATGAAATCATTTTCGCTAATGAAAAAAAGTTTTGTTCTTTCATCATTTGTTGTAGATTTTATTTATGGATTGGTTTTTCAAGAAATTGACTCACACTTTTGAATCTTGGGTTGATTTGTTTTAACTTCTACTATATAATTATCTTTTAATGTGTTTTCGATTTCTTCCTTCAACTTCTCATGATGATATGTTTCTTTGCAACGTATCTCCAGTTCTCCTTATTTAGTTTGTTTCACTGATGCAACATCAATCTTAAGATTACCAATATCAATGTTATATCTCATATAACATCAATTTTGTTGCTGGGATCTTTCTCCGTTTTTAATGAATCTCGAGATAATTTTGGCTTGATGATAATTGATTCAGAATAACTGTTCATTTCATTTACATCTCTTTGGGTTAAGACCTGATAATATAATAATGCACTTTTGAGGACTTGTTTTCGTCTAATTTTTTATTTGTTCTGTTATCTTCTTTGAACTCTCCCTATTTTTTTTCTTTTTCTGCTGAATTAGTAGTGATTAAATCATGAGTATAATGTAATTATTCATTTTTTTTCTGTAATCGAATAGTATTCTGTTCTGAAGTTTCGTTATCTTCCCAAGATAACGGTCCACATCTCTTCAGACGATAGTATGTGGGCCTATTGAACAACTTAGGCTATCCGTGTTATAATCTCCAATTGTTTGGTAACATACTCCAAAAGATGTATGAATGCCTTGGAATATGCCAATTCTAGTATATGCCATCATTGGCTTCTGGTCAGTGTGTCCAGGTATCCAGACCAGAAACAATTCTGATGTTCATTTCTTTCGAAAACAGTTTTTTTGGCAGTTCACTTGTTCACTACCAGCTTGAAACCCCTTGCCTGTCAGAGAATATTTTGTTGATCTATTCGTGGTAGGTTTATATCACTATCCTCACACCCCGCTAGAAATACTGTACTTCAGATACCTAGGCAGGTTGATATTTTTCAACTAGATTTGTGACTGTATGAATCTACACCAGAACCTGAAGGTATTTTTGAATCATCTGCGAACCATTAGCTATCTCCCGTTAGCTTGCCCTGGAGCCTGACGATCTTTACATATTATGGAATGTTTCCAAATATTCCATCACATTCCAGAATGTTCCGATATGTTCTAGAAGTTTGAGGAATATTCTAGAATAGTTTGGATTGTTCCGGATTGTTCTTGAAATTTCTTCAACTGTCGTTCCAGATAATTCCATAAGATATTATCATTTTTCTCTACAGATTTGAGTGATGGTGAGGGTGCCTGGACATCTGGAAATAAAATTGCTGATGGAACAACTTGGACATGGTTGGATGGAAGTAAAATCACATATCTCAACTGGGGCCCTGGAGAACCCAATTCGTATGGAGGAAATGAAAGTTGTATAGAAGTTTTCAAGAGAAACACTGATGCTTTTTGGAACGACCTTTCATGTGACTATAAACGTGCTTATATTTGCGAAAAAATTGAAAATCAATGTAATGATACAATATTGGAAAGCATTAGTGTCGATGGTGAAAGTTGTTCCATATCTAGTTCAAAAGATTCAGGTTCACCGAATAAGAAGTTTTATATCAGTACTTACAAGGTGAGTATCCCAATACTGGAAAATATTTTGAATAATTGAGAGGTTTCCCGAATCAGTCGGGAAATTGTACAAAGCAATAGTACAGTTCAATTTCATTGCACCTTGATCAATTTTCGTAAAATAAAAAAGGGAGTGTGCTTCAGACCACACTTATAACTTACTGTTAGTGAGGATAGCCGTGTCAAAAAGAATGTTACATTTGAACAATTGAAACATGTCAATACAATGAAACAAGTCACTACAATAAAAGAGGTTGACTCCTCCTCTTTTGAAGTAGTGTTTTGTTTCATTGTATTGACCTGTTTCAATTGTTTAAATGTAACATTCTTTTCAACACGGACATGCATCCTCACTAACAGTAAGTTGAGCCCTTTCATAATAATTTTTCATATTGTACTATCATCATACAAATTTTGTAGCTTTTTCTCGAAGATGATAATAAATTTTATCGAAATATTGGAATAACTTGTGTTATAAGAGTACACTTTCGTCCTGCTGATCACCCAAAGATTTTCCAATCACCAAGAGGAAGATTGAACTGAAAGATTATTCTTCGTCTTGAAGATGATCACTTGGTAATCGAAACACGTGTTGAAGTATTAAAATAACGATGTGGTGTTGGGATAAAACTCTAGTGATATTTAAGAATAAATCAGGTTGTTGGTAAAATTATTTGGATTCAATATGTAACCTATAACTTACGTCAGTCGACAATGAATGCAGTATTGAAATGACACAAGAATTGAATGAAAACACATTATTAAACGAAAAAGCAATATGAAAAAGTGTTGTATTTTGAATTCGACCAAGAAGTACAATACGATGAGTGTGCTCACTAATTTTTTTGCATATAAATACATACGACTGCAAATTACTGTCGAATTAGAATTCACTGATATTGATATCGTATGTTATTGTTATTTGAAGTTTCCTAAAATAACTTCATGAATTCGTTATCAGCTTCAGGACAGACTTTTGCATAAGTCAAGCAGTGAGAAACTCTGCCATTATTATTACGAAGGCCATCATCTTCTTCAGAAACATCACGTTTTCATTTCATTTCATGTCTGACATTTCTGAAGTGACATTGAATTTATGTTTTAGGCCTCTTATTCAGAAGCAAAGGAGATTTGTTCGGCAATGTTTATGGAACTAGCCGAATTGGAATCTGAAGAAGAAAATAATATGTTATATGGAATTCTGAGTGGAAGAGGTGAGGAATTATTGATTTAAGTTGAAAATTCAACATTTGGAATGATATTCAAAAACTGATTTCATATTTGCAATGATGCAAATCAATACGCAGTATTTCTAATCTGATTGGACATTGTCAATGATTTATAAGTGTTTTTGTGGAAAAGATATCACAGTAAAAGCCGAAGAGAAATCAACAGAGTTGATTTTCGAAAAGCCTTAATGAATCAACTCCTTAGAAGGAGTTGCAAATGTTCCCATTTGAATCATTTTCTCTGATTCATCTTAAAGTCCCTTTATATCCTTTTCAAATGTGGCTGGATCATATTTCCCACTAAATTTTCATTCTGAGCTTATGGATCTAAGCAAACTCCAATAACGCCTTTGGGTTTTCTCGCAATAGTATGGCAATAATATGGGCCACTGTTTTCAATTCGAACTAATTTAATTTCACAAAATCAACTCACCTCATCAGAAAATTCACACATTGTTGATCAAGATATCTGCAGATCACATATTTTTCATCAAATGTACAGCTCGTGAAAAATCTCATATCAGTTTTATATCCGCAGCTTTGAGGGTATGGGTTATAATCTGTTTAAAATCTGTTTTTCCGTTAAGCAGCTGTCGCACCCCTACGAACGACAACCCTCAGAAGCCGAAACTTGTGCGAGCTAAAGATTAACGAGGTCTTACCTTTTCACGTGTGATTCCTAACACTGGCAACTGTTGCAAAGTGTTTGTTAACCGCATTAGAATCAACAAGGTGATCTGGTATGTTTTTCCTAATGTTTTTTCTCGAGTGAATTCCCATGTCATCAAGATCTTTCCACATACATTTTGGGATACCTGTTTGAATGCTAAACTTTGAGCACCCTTTTTTCTCAGTTTTTACAGCGATATTGACTTAATTTTTGAGGTTTTTGAAATTATTCTAATCCATCGTATTTTTCGATATTTTGTACTTCTTGAGGGCCTCATCTCGTTTATGCATTACCATTCTGATATTCTCTGTCAACCTGGAGGCTTCCAATTTGGTTATTGGGACTGTTTTCAAAGGAGAATATTTGTGGAATAAAGATATAAGAGTTTCCTTCAGAATTTGAACTTTTTCATGAATATTTGGTGTTGGGTATATTAGATACAATGTTAACCAAGTCGTTATAAAAGGCTCTTCATGCTTAAAATTCTTGAAACAACTCTTGAAAGAGTTTTTTGGAGGCTGATTCCAAATCGATACTACATGTTGTGATTGAATGGTACGAGAGATCTGTACTTTTAACTTCAGTATTTGTGATACATAAATGATTGGAAAATATGATTATATCTGTTCGATGTATTTGTAATACGAGTGGGGGTATTTATCAATTGTTTGATTGGAGTTTTTTTACCGAGCTGTTCATTGAATTCATAAAAACAAGGTTGATACGACAATTTTTCAAAATTTTGATAAAGTCATAAACAGGATATGAAGGAGGGCGGTAAATTGCTCCAATACAGACCTTCTCTTTTTTGTAAGTGACCGATAACTAGACTCGTTCAGTATCATTCACTGGCATTTCTTTGATGATAGGAGAATAACAATCACATATGATGTAAATTGCAATACCGCCAGCACGGGTATCTCTATCTTGTCAGTACATTGTTATATTGTCATCGATATTTGTGTCTAACCAAGATTCCGTTAAAATGATGATGTCATATTTCGAATAAATAATCGATAGCATTTTCAGAACTTCAGGAATCAACGACTTTATATTCAAGCTCAAAACTTTGAGTGCCATTGTAACATTACAAAGTTGAAATTCAATGTATGTATTCAGAACTATGAAAAAATTTTGTTTATATCTTTCCAAAATTGTTATTCTTGGGACATGGGTTTATTAACTGGCACACCACAGTATTTTGTAGACTTTTCAACCTGTCTTACAAGAAAGGGGTTTTTCTTTTTTGTTGGAAGATTGCTCGCATTCAGCCTATTCCCAAAAAGGGCAAACCAACTCTTTCAAATAACTATAGACCAGTCGCTTCACAATCAGTGATTTTGAATGGCTTCAATATCTTGAACGATCATCAAAACGGCTTTCGGAAACAAAGGTCAACAGGTGACCTTCCATCGTATGTCACCCATATTTGGAATAACGCAATAGATAAACGTAGAGAGCTGTTGCGCTTGATATTTCTAAGGCCTACGGCAGCAATCGGTTCAATATTTTCATGAGGATCCAGAAGTAATTTCGAATTGGGGTGGAAGTAACCAGGTCATAACCGGATATAATAATCTCAGGTCAGACAATTTCGCTTTCTGCTTCGATAAGTTTGTTTAGGGTTAGAAGGACACCAATATGTCTTGCCACAATCATGCTGCATGAATTGCAAAGGCTTTTCTCAAAAGCTTGGAACACTGTTCCTAACCAGGAAACTGTCCACAGCTCAGCATTTTCTGATTCTTTATAGAGATCAGATCAGACCTTCTTTGGAGTATTGTTCTCATGTATGGAGCTCCGCCCCCAAACATACCCCGAAGCTACTGGATTCCATCCAGAAAAGAGTCATCCGCCTGATTAGAAACGCGAACATCTCTTGCAACCTTGATAGTCAGGAATATCGAAGAAAGGTCGGAGATTTGTCTCTCTTCTATACATACATCCACGGGAAGTGTTCAAGTGACTTGACATATTCGATTCCACCAAGAGCAGTACCATATCAGACGGAGAGTGGCTGCTCATCGTTCCGAAGTTCAACTCAGTACGCGTCAAACTTCACTGCTCATTCATTATCTCATTCGGAGAACGACGTTTATTTGAAATAAACTTCCTAAGAACATTTTTTCAAATGGAGTTGATCTCCAACGATTCAAATACAATGTGAATCACCACTTTTACACAGGCACCGCTCTAAGAGCACCTTAAGAATTTTCCTGTAGTGCTTGTGTTTTGCCCTTGAAATACATTCATGATGACGTTTTTTCTTCAAGAGTACCTGAGATGCAAAACAAAGTTTCAATGTATATCAATTATATTTACATTATTATTATTATTTTTACATTTTCATTATTTCTGATAGAAAAAATACTTCAATTCTCTATCATACACTTTAATATTTTTGAAAATCGGATCAGTTTTCTTTTCCTTATTCATTAATAATTTGATATTCTTTTTAAGAATATGCATGAATATTTGCTTGAGAAAATTGGGTCAAAACTCATTCTATTCCATTCCAATAAATGTTTCAATGTTCAACATTAACACCTGATAATATTGAAGTTTGATCACAAATTCATATTTTTTATATTAAAGATTGTTTTTGAGGTAATTTCGTTAGGAACACCTCTTATTCTATCCGTGGATTCTGGAATAGACTGCTGTTAGGTACTTCAGATACGGTGAAAATATGCAAGAGCGTGTTCAGGAGCTAATTTCATGAAAAAAAAAATGTACATAAACGTAGGTCCGGAAATGCATTGTTCTCAACATACAGGGTGTTTATCCTTTAAAAATTATTGTGAACCTATTGTGAATATCCCTGTCACAACCAAAAATTAACTTGACAAATGCAAAACATGGTGAACAAATAGGTGTTGCTTTTTAAATGCACAGCACACGAGTTGTTTTTACCCGCTTTTCGTTTTTATTTGTTTTCTGTAGAATAAAGCAAGCTACGAAATGAAACCAAGAAATGAGTATGTCCTAAGTTATGTGGGTTTTACTCAACACAAAATTGAATGTTACAATAAAATCAGTGGCGTTCATGTTTTGGTCAATAATGTTGGCTGAAATGTGTTCAGGGCCGCTACTGGATTCAGCAATTTGTGAATATTTGAAACTAAATGAACCTCTTATCACTGAAAATTTATAGTAATGATACAAAATAGGAACTTTTCAGGAAAGTTCAATAGTTGGATCTATTTCGGATGTATGTTCATATGAACGTTTTCACTATAGAATAAACTCCTGTGCACATTCCTACATGTTCTCAACTCAATAAGGAAACTGCTTTCAGAAGTTTTATCATGACAGTTTATTCTGGGGAAATTCTGCTATTTCCATGCTGTGATAGCTTAGTCGGTACAAAATAATATGTTTCAACCTTTGTTTCATTTTCAACTAATCATTTCGCTATTCTTTCCAAAGAAACGACTCCCTATTGGATTGGAGGAAAGAGAGAAGTGAACCAAATATGGAAATGGTCAAATGGTAAACCCATTAAATGGTTTAACTGGAGTAAAGAAGATCCTGATCATAAACACTTTGTTTATGGTGCCCAATGGTGTTTGGAAGTTAGTGTTGGGGGAAATGCATTGGTATGGAATCATCGAAACTGTTGCGAAAAACGCCTTTTCATTTGTGAGAAAAAGTCTCCTGTTGTGAAAATTATTGTAAGAGGAAAATTGATCATTTCCGATGGATCAGGAAACACTCAAGGTGGAAATAACTGTAATGTGATTGTTAATATAGAGGAGTGACAGCAAATTAGGTCAAATTTATTCTCTGTTGATTGAAAAATTTCATATGTATATCATACAATACTCTATATCACACACAAAATAAATTTGGAGTGGATAACCATTTATATGGTTTGTATAAAAAGCTGTTTTTGAGATCAAAGCCAGCTAGTTACTACTTCAAAAAATCATATAGAGAAGGTAAAATATGGTGATGGCAATAAAAACCAAAATTTCGATTGAAAATCAGTATTCATTTTTCCCTTCCAAACCTAGTCAGTACAGTACTAACTCATAAGTCAGCGTTCTTTCAATTTTGATACCGCATGTTAAAAAAAATCTAAGGAAGTACGAAGTAAAAATTTTAAGTGATATTTTCCGAACTCTACTGTGTTACATCCTCCCAACCAAGAATTTACCTGACTTCTACATTTTTCATCGAAGGCATCAGATACTCTTCTTCATGTTAGATCTTCTCTAGGAATGTGTATGGTTTTGTTTAATATATTGAATGTGAGATCTTGTTGTGTTTTGATTTGTACTTGTTCCTCGATAAGTGATTTATGACTGTTGAATTTATGGATATTCAAGTTTCCCCAAATGTCCAAGCGGTTTCCCTTGTTGATTTGTTTTATTAGTTTTATGTTCTCTGGTGGGGGGAAATTATGTTTGTTTTGTATGGCGTGTGTTGCAAGGTTTGATTATAGTTGAAAGAACTTCAGACATCACCAGAAGATGGCAAATGAGACTTTCATACGATAGTTATGTAAAATATTAGGCACATAGTGTTGGATGAACATTGGTACAATTCATTTACAAAAATTGGAAAAGAATGTCTAATATTTGATAAAATACGTTGCAGTTTGAAATTATTGAAAGAGGATCTTATCCACACGTGAAAATTCACAAATCGTCTCTATTGGTTAGGACTGACAGACAGTTGACATGGCATGTCAGTGGTAATAGTGATAAAAGTTGCTACCAACTTGAAATTTAATTCATAAAATAAAAACAACAATAAAAATTAATTGGCGCTTGAAATTGTAAAGAATTCCTTGGGAAATTTTTACCTGTGGGTAGAATTTTTACGGCAAAGTTGGGATAATAACATTTAAATTAAATTCATCAAGTATATTATTCTATTAATTCCAAATTCGATAGATCAATTGAAACATTGTTATATGGATTTTTATCTAACGTCAAAAGGTAGGGATATATCTCACTGGTATGATTAATATCTGTTTTTTTAATAATACAATTTTTATAACCAGCTATGAAGGCTATTTCAAAGAAGGACCTTTTTGTTGAATGTGTTTCACTAGCTGAGACCTTAATGAAATCAAAATCATATAGTGGTCAAACTTGTTGACATGCTCGGCTAACGCGCATCTTTCGAGATGGTGTCTACAATCACTTTTGAGGTCATTCTGGAGCTTAAAGTTCTTGACGTTTGCCCAACATAGTTTTTGTTACGCGATTGACATGGAATCATGGGAAATATTTCAAAATATGTTCGAATCGTTGGCCATTCACTTCCAAGCTATTTAAAATTAGGGTGTTGACTGCTTTCTTCGTGGAAGATCTATTTCAATCGGAATCCAAATCTTCAAATGTTTGGGTAATCCTTTCGAACAATTCATACTTAGAACACACTTTTCTTCAAACATTCTCCACAGATAAAAATCTAATGGATTAGGATCGAGTGGTCTCGCTGGCCAATTCCATGGTCCCAAGCGCCTCATCCACCGATCGTCAAATAGTCTATACAGTTCTGCGCTCACTTCTCTTGTACAATGTGCAGGAGTTCTAGTTGGTATTAACATTTCCGATATTCTTAGAGTATCAGATTATCAATGAAGCTCTCTACATTATTCTCTCGTACCTCAATTTGTTGTCCATTGACATACAAAAGACTTTAGAACTATTTTTTTGAAATTCGCCTTCTTTTGTGACGTGAGAATTTTCATTGGACCAATAATGGAAATTTTTTCTATCGAAAATTCCTTCTCTCGAAAATTTCGATTCACCAGTCAAAATGATTTTATTTGAAAGAAATGGATATTCTTGAATGCGTATCAACAACATTTTACAAAATTCAACTCTCTGTTGAGGCTTCATTGCTTAAATTTTGGTCAACTTATAATTATTATGCATTTTGTCTTCGCAAGATTGAACCATATCCAAATTTTTTTCAGTAGTTTCTATCGATGACTCAGGAAATGAGTGAAAATATGCTAAGACATTAATCTGGTTGCCTTCGAAAGTTACGGGTCGAGGCAAGTTTTTTTATCCTTATGAAGTCGATCTGAATGCATTGAAATTGTTTTGAATTTGTATAAGTTTCTTGAGGTTCATTTGCAGTAGATTCGGATACCTTTCGTTGAACATTCTACATATCCTGCTGATGATTTCATCACAATGTCCAAAAATAGCGAACAAATTCATGAGAAATTTAAAGAAATGAACTTCAAACGTCCAATCCAGTCAAAAATATACCTACACAGTAGGTTGAATGGACTGACGCCTATCAGAAAACAACTACTCCCCTGGCTAATACCACGAAGCGCGTTGGATTATAACCAACAGGCGTCAGTGCAGGAATTTTCACAGAAACTTTCTTGCACATGCAATTGGCAATACAACTGAAAGAGTCGACCTCCAATTTTGGAACGGACACACTTGCAGACCGGTTTCGGGCTCATTGGCCACTCATCAGTGCAATATAGTGACCATCATCTACCTAAAGTCAATGATATTTCATAATTGAAAATCGGAATTCTTCCAGAGTATTTCATTCCTTTTCCTAAGTTGGAGCGAAACAACAAAATGTCACTCCATCTAGTGGACGAGTTACTAGCCAACTGCATATCCGTAATTTGCCCGATTCCTCTGAATAAGGAAAAAAACTTTCTTATTAGTCAGTGGGCTATGCTTGAAGACTGACAGTGAACAAATCTAAAGAAATGAACTTTAAACGTTCAAGCCAGTCTCGAATATACCTACACAGTAGGTTAAATGAAGTGACGCGTATCAGAAAACAACTACTCCCCTGGCTAATACCACTAAGGGCGTTGGATTATACTTGACAGGCGTCAGTGCAGAAATCTTCACAGAAAATTTTCTGCATATGCAATTGGCAATACAACTGAAAGAGTCGACCTTCAATTTTGGAACGGTTACACTTGCAGACCGGTTTCTGGCCCATTACCAGTGTTGTCACAAGCTATCTTCTCATCGAGGTAGATTTCTGAAAGGGAGCGGGGTAGAACCGGGGTGGATCCACATTTACATGGTGACACCAATCACAGTGATGCATTGACGTATACCTATGATTGTCGTTCTTTGTTCTATGATCAATTTGATGATCGTAATCAAAAACAGAAGTCACATATCATCGTATCCAAATTTGGGATCATTGTGTTTCCAAACCATTCCTCAAAAATATTAGCTTCCATGGTCTAATGATAGTCAACACTGCAGTCCTCAAGTTTTTTTCCACATCACTTCAAAGAATTTGGACCCATCCTTCACTTCCTCCGCAATGAACAATGATAAGTCGCGATCCTTTGTTTGCAGGCTTGTTAGGTGTACACATTCTCGAACCATCAGTTCACCCTTTCGTAACTGTGTCGTGAGTGTTATACCAAGTTTCGTCCAGAAAGAAAATGGCCGTTGTTCTTGTCTATATTTAGTTATTTGTTCTGAGTATTTGTTACGCAATTCCACTATTCTTCTGCTTTCCATAACTGATTGACGTTTGTTTATTATTTTAAATCTAAATCCTAGTTTCTTTATCCAATTCTGAAGAGTTTTGTCACAGCAGCTCACGTTATGGCCGGAAGTATTCTATTTCTTCCTTATGATTTCTGTTGTGGAAATCTCATTGCTTTTGTAACAGTCGTATTGTTTTTTTCAATGATTTCATTTGATGAACATCTAAAGGTTTTGGTAATCCTGATGTATCACATCGCGTCTTGCGTTCATTAGGTTTGTTTTTGACTAGTTTACGTACAGTTGAGAAAGGAATTTCGGTCAAATCTGATGTTACTTGTGAAAGTTTCTTTCCCTCGAAACCAAACTTGAGATGTATATTCTTATATATATTGAAACATACTCTCTGTGTACACCATCGCTATTGGAATCACTACACTGGAAAAAGTCTGCGTTGTTATCACACTCGTTATTACTATTAGTNTATATTGAAACATACTCTCTGTGTTTTAATATTCAAATGCATCCGAATCTTATTCACTGGTATCACTTTTACGCATTGTTTACCATCGCTATTGGAATCACTACACTGGAAAAAGTCTGCGTTGTTATCACACTCGTTATTACTATTAGTACTAGTCCAAGGACGCCATATTTTGAACAGATAACAAAAATTTTAAGTGATTATAACTGCACCAACATCGAATTTCCACACTCAAATCGCGATCAGTTCCTGAACTGAACACGACGGCGTGAACCAAAGGCCGCATTCCCAGATTTCTATTCGTCAGCATAACATGACTTCAAATTTAATTTTATGACTCTTCAGCCAGTCACAAAACTCGGTTAGTAAAAATTATCTAATACGAACCGCCATGTCTCTACAGTCCACGTGGACTAGTTTGCTGCCGGTTTATTTCTATCTGTTGGTTTTTTTGGTCCTTGAGAGTGCCGACAACTTTAAGAGTGCACAATATCAGTTACTTTGACTATACATATACCTACATTTATATCACAGACTGACATTGCACATAATATAAATATTTCCATATTTACGTTCTCAACTTTGACTAAAAATGTCGAATGTCATGTCACAAACATTAAATAGCATTTCACATGCACAGAGCATGATCACGGCACTCGGTATCATTGGAAGAGCAGAAGAGCATTGTAGTGTAACTCAGTACTCAGTCACAGAATGTCGGAACTATCGATGTAAGAGTCTTACAGTAAACACAACCCAAGGAACCACCGCCAGCGGCGCCAGACACTCAGTCTACGCCAATTTGCCACGGGTACTCGGCTCGTGTAACGCGGTAAATTCAAAATCAAACCTCAAATATTTGTTAATTTTTTCAATTTTTATTTTACATTCTTTTGTTTTATATCTGAGCGGGGTAGATTTACTTGAGGGGAGCGAGAGGGTAAAATTAAGTTCAAGAGGGGTAGAACTATCCCGTACAGGGTAGCTGTGGCAACAGTGCTCATTACCCACTCATCAGTGCAAGATAGTGACCATCATCGTCCTAAAGTCAATGA